GTATCCGGAGACCAATAGGCAGCCAGTGCAGCTCGCGGAGGATAGGTGTTACGTGGGTGAACCGAGGTGCACCCACGATCGCTCACAACCCATCCTTCTGACAATTCCTTGCTCCTCTTTTTAAAAATATGGATGTGATTTCAGAGGGAGGTAGATCCTTGACTTTCACCCTCTAAATGTGCCTTGGAGGATCAGGTGCTGTGTATAACATTTCAGCAGGGATTTTACTTGCAAATGGAGAGATATTGAAATGGAAATTGTGTGTAAAACTAAATGTAGATTTGTATCTTATGCTTTCAAAATGTACTTTCTGCTATATTACCATACAGTTTTGTACAGGTGGAAAAAAGAAAGGAGGACCATAAAAGTCATCAATCTCATTTTGATACAATTTTGTAGGAATTCTAACACATCTTCTTTCTGTCTTTGAAGGATAATTTACTATGCAGAATACTAGCGTTTTGCAAATACTTACTCACCCAGCTGTTTCTTTTAAATAGGTTACTCTCCTCAATATTATGTTCAGTCAATCTCCACCTTTCAATAGTTGAACAAATGTCTTGCATGTATTTACAATTAGCTCAGGATTAAAGTACAGTTTTGGAAATTAATTTTTGCAAACGTAAGTTTGAAAGAAACCCTTCCACTGCGCAACTTCTACAACATTGGGTTCCCCCCCCGCCCCTCATGATATTTAGAAAAGAAATTTAAAATCCTTTGGTGGAATAGTAACTCATACTGTTATACTATTTGATATCAGAACTCAATATTAATGTGAACTAGCACTAAGGACACTTTGGTATTTCAATACAAACCTTTTGAAAATTCTTAACAGATTTCTAAAAAGATCAAGCACTTCATCAAAACTTGCAGACTTTTTGACTATAATCAAAATGGACAGATCCAGCGGCATGAACTAAGAAGGATTCTTGAAATCAACTGCTTCAAGATGACAGATTGCGAGTATGATAAGTAAGTAAAAGCACAAGCAAAAGGCACTTTTAGAATCACTACGGGAAGCTTACCTTACATGTAGTACCGTATTTATCGGCGTATAACACGCACCGGCGTATAACACGCANGTGGGTTTCAAATTTTTTTGGAACCTCTTCTGTAGGTGTGGCCTGCTTTCCGGGTCCACTGATGGAACCTCTTCTAACCAGTTCGGTAGATTTGATGAACTGGTTCTACCGAATAGGTGCGAACTGGTAGGAACCCACCTCTGCTATAGAGTCTTAAAAATGACACAGTATGTTTATCAGTGGAAATTGGTAGAGAATGGGAAGTAATATTTGGCAGCATAATAACAAACACCTGTGAGTCATCTCCAGGAAGATGAAACTCTGAATGCTGGGGATTGGAAACAATCTAATATCTATGGAGATTGTCAATCATCCAGGTCATGGTTATCCCAAAAGTTTTTTTCAGAACCGAAGAAGGTTCTTGGATGAAAAGTGAAATGTTTTCAAAGAAAAAAAAAAGAAAAGAAAGTCCAGTTGCCTTTTGGAAAAGCATTTTTGGGAAATGATCCAATATTTTGCTACCTTAAAAGTGAAAAGGGAGAAAAACCTGAAGGCTGCAGGAGTTAATAGATTCTCATTGGTAACAAGAGACAAAGAAACTGTCAAGAGATACCATAACATCGAGACACCATATGTAGTAAATACAAACTAAAGAAAACATAGACAAAATAAAATACCAGAGGGAACAGGAATACAGAATTAAATTTAAAATAATAGATTACAGAAATATAGAAATAGGCATTCATAAATAAGAAACAATGTCCTATTTTCCACTTCCAGGACCTGGAAAGCTTTACATTTTTACAATAAATCACATCAAATTTTGTGTCTAGAGTCCATATCAAGAAAAGCCATTGTGGAAATTTCTATATTGAAAATAAAAGAAGGCATATGTAATTAAGAACAGCTGAATCCAATAAGCATGGTTAAACAGATATCATTTATTCTCAGCATGAAGTGTGATTTGATTCTGTTATTAGACTTTAGATGGAATCTGTGCTTTGTTTCTTATTTATCCTGTTATTTATTACATTATATTCTTGCATGATTTGTCAGAGGCTTATTCATAAATGAAGTTTAGAATCCATAAATTCCTTTAGTTGAATTCACTGCTATATTTAGTGGCATCTATTTTAATTTTAAGTGTCATTTTTTAAAGTTTATTCTTACATTATTCTAACTCATCCCTCTTAATGTTTTCTATTCTTTTAATTAAAAATCTTTATATGTACAGTAGGCTTTTTATTATTAATCTTATCAGTGTAGCCTATAGAACTATAGTTATATTTACTTCACAATGTGATTTGTGTAGATTAATAACCGTTATAAGGATAAATGATGATACTGAATGTAGATGGAAGGACAGCTTAAATATAGTTAAAATTCACTGCTATAATATTAAAACTCAGCTCACTCATTTTCATTCTCCCTTTCAGTGCAAATTACAGTAATTTGTAATTCTTTTCAAGCAAACACACTGGCTAAAATGGGAAACTATCCTCTGTCTTAATTCCCATCATCAAGAAGTTGCTTCTAAATTACTTAGTTATATGTGGCCTGCCAACCTTTAATCTAACAATAGCCAGGCAACAATTTATTCATGCTGTCATAAGTATATTCTACAAATTATATTGTAATCCTTTTGTTGTAATGTAATATAACACTATTATAACCCCCACATTGCATCTGTATATATGAATGGACACATTTGTGAATTCATTGGGAAATGCAGAGCTGATATGGTATTATTCACCAGGAATTGAGCTTGAATGAAATAAGATTTTTCATTGTATACTATTAGTTTAGAAAAGTATCTTAGCTGTATACAGGGAGTTTTTGACTATGGTTCAGATGCTTGGCCAGCAGAGGTGGGTTCCTACCAGTTCGCACGAGTTCGGTAGAACCAGTTCGTCAAATCTACCGAACCGGTTAGAAGAGGTACCACCAGAAAGCAGGCCACACCTACAGAAGAGGTTCCAAAATTTTTTGAAACCCACCACTGACACACAAACACACACACACACACACACACACACACACACACACACACACATACACAGAGAGAGAGAGAGAGAGAGAGAGACTCACACAG